TTCTGTAATATAATATTAGCAATGAATAAACATTAAGAGGAAAACACATTTGAAAACAATAAGAGGATTTGAAAACCTTAATAAGAAAATATCGTGTAAATAAGAGGAATTATTATTAAGAGGAAAAACAAAAAGTTTAAATAAGAGGAAAAACTGAATTACAGATAAATAATAATATTACTTACGAGCTGGGATGTTGATTCCACCAAGTATGAGATTCTCTTGATCACGAATAGGAACTCCTGTAATGGAAATATTTTTGTATGAGTACTTATTACTTGTTTATACACTTGTTAAAATATACAATTAATAACTTTTAAAATTACGAAAATTATTGTGAAAACGTACGGTTATTTATGATGCGACGGCGTTTGGGTGGAGGTTCAATGACGTTTCTGGCTTCGGTGGGAGGTTCCCGGTTAACGGAGAAACGACAGTATGGGCAGGAAGTAGAACCATGAACTGAAATGAAAATAACATATATAAATTGACTGTCTGTATGTATGCATGTATGTGTGTGTTTCGGATATATATTTTCTTTGAAAGTTTATTGAATGTGCGAGAAAAAGCGATACTTACGATTTGCACAATAGAGTTGTCCGCAGCTGGTACAGGTTACGTCAAAATGTCCAGGCGGTGTAGGCCCGTTGCATCCTATACAGTATAGTCTACATTCTTGAAGAGCGTTGATGGACATTTCACCTAGGCATGTTAAACACTGAGTTTGACACACATGCACGATTTCGTTGTTGATAGGAGACAGGCACAGAGGACATACTGACATGATGATATGACTAGGCTAGGGGAACCTTGTGAACAGGATGAAGATTGAATGGGGACTGAAAGTGTAGGCCTCTGAGACTTTGGCGATCTGAGGGGGGCCCCTGAATGAGCGTAATAACGATAGTGTGCCCCTGAGTGAGCGTTTGGCTGTTTTATTAATAGCGAGAATGATTGACGAATACTGGGAATAACTCTTTTATTATAAATTGTGTAAACTATGAATTAGATGACTAAATAAATTATAAATAAATAAATAAGTTTTATTAACGCTTAATGTATATATATATATATATATATATATAAATTATTACGGTGGCGAACGCCGACAATGACTGGTGGATGTCTGGGGCAGATAATCAGGTGATGATTGCCTCGGGCAGATAGCCTGGGGCAGGTAGCTGGGGCCAGCTTAGATAGTCTCTGAGGCAGTTTTCAGTATTAAAGGTTACATTGAGATGCTTCGGTTGATTTGTATAAAACTGACTGGTTAATGAAAAAGGAATAAAATATTAGTATGTCAGAAAATAGGAAGAGGGAATAATATGAAGAGGAGAGAGAGAGAGGAGAGAGAGAGAGAGAGAGAGAGGAGGGACGGTCCAGATATTACGGATAAGATAAGATAAGATTAAGAGCCGACTGGCTGGCTGACGTCTAAAGTAAATACAGGTGAGGCGACAGATTGCGAGTCAAGGGGGGGGAGGGAGGGGGGTGTGATGTACGAGACTTGAAAACCCTGACTTACACAGGTGATTTTCTAAATTTATATGAATAACTAAGGCTTACATAGACGATTTTGTAAGTTGAAAACATGTAAAATATGTCCGTAGAGTTCTCCTGGAAGCCCTAAAGTGCTACACACGTTATTTGAATTTCTCCCATAAGGCTTTAACAAACTTCTAAGTCTCGGAAATTATTTTTCTCATAAGAAATCCATACTTCTAAAATCTGTGACTGCCCAAATTCGCCTGAAAAACCCTGGCTCACAAACACGAATTTCTAAATTTACCTGAAACCCTTGGGGCGCACAGGGGATATTCTAAATTTACCTGAAACCCTTGGGGCGCACAGGGGATTTTTCTCCCAGAAAAAAAAATTCGTCTGTGTGGCGCCAACCCTACTACTGTTGGGGAGGGTGTGTTGGTGATGGAGGGGTGTTGGGGAGGGTGTGTTGGTGGTGGAGAGGTGTTGGGGAGGGTGTGTTGGTGGTGGAGGGGTGTTGGGGAGGGTGTGTTGGTGGTGGAGACGTGTTGGGGAGGGTGTCTTGGTGATGGAGAGGTGTTGGGGAGGGTGTTGGTGGTAGAGAGGTGTTGGGGAGGGAGTCTTGGTGGTGGAGAGGTGTTGGGGAGGGTGTGTTGGTGGTAGAGAGGTGTTGGGGAGGGTGTGTTGGTGGTGGAGGGGTGTTGGGGAGGGTGTGTTGGTGGTGGAGAGGTGTTGGGGAGGGTGTGTTGGTGGTAGAGAGGTGTTGGGGAGGGTGTGTTGGTGGTGGAGGGGTGTTGGCGAGGGTGTGTTGGTGGTAGAGAGGTGTTTGGGAGGGTGTGATAGTGGTGGAGGGGTGTTAGGGAGGGTGTGTTGGTGGTAGAGAGGTGTTGGGGAGGGTGTGTTGGTGGTGGAGGGGTGTTGGAGAGGGTGTGTTGGTGGTAGAGAGGTGTTGGGGAGGGTGTGTTGGTGGTGGAGGGTTGTTGGAGAGGGTGTGTTGGTGGTAGAGAGGTGTTGGGGAGGGTGTGTTGGTGGTGGAGGGGTGTTGGAGAGGGTGTGTTGGTGGTAGAGAGGTGTTGGGGAGGGTGTGTTGGTGGTGGAGGGGTGTTGGGGAGGGTGTCTTGGTGGTAGAGAGGTGTTGGGGAGGGTGTGTTGGTGGTGGAGGGGTGTTGGGGAGGATGTGTTGGTGGTGGAGGTGGAGGGGTGTTGGGGAGGGTGTGTTGGTGGTGGAGGGGTGTTGGAGAGGGTGTGTTGGTGGTAGAGAGGTGTTGGGGAGGGTGTGTTGGTGGTGGAGGGGTGTTGGAGAGGGTGTGTTGGTGGTAGAGAGGTGTTGGGGAGGGTGTGTTGGTGGTGGAGGGGTGTTGGGAAGGGTGTGTTGATGGTGGAGGGGTGTTGGGGAGGGTGTGGTGGTAGAGAGGTGTTGGGGAGGGTGTGATGGTGGTGGAGGGGTGTTAGGGAGGGTGTGTTGGTGGTAGAGAGGTGTTGGGGAGGGTGTGATGGTGGTGGAGGGGTGTTAGGGAGGGTGTGTTGGTGGTAGAGAGGTGTTGGGGAGGGTGTGTTGGTGGTGGAGGGGTGTTGGGGAGGGTGTGTTGGTGGTAGAGAGGTGTTGGGGAGGGTGTGATGGTGGTGGAGTGGTGTTAGGGAGGGTGTGTTGGTGGTAGAGAGGTGTTGGGGAGGGTGTGATGGTGGTGGAGGGGTGTTAGGGAGGGTGTGTTGGTGGTAGAGAGGTGTTGGGGAGGGTGTGTTGGTGGTGGAGGGGTGTTGGAGAGGGTGTGTTGGTGGTAGAGAGGTGTTGGGGAGGGTGTGTTGGTGGTGGAGGGGTGTTGGAGAGGGTGTGTTGGTGGTAGAGAGGTGTTGGGGAGGGTGTGTTGGTGGTGGAGGGGTGTTGGGGAGGGTGTCTTGGTGGTAGAGAGGTGTTGGGGAGGGTGTGTTGGTGGTGGAGGGGTGTTGGAGAGGGTGTGTTGGTGGTAGAGAGGTGTTGGGGAGGGTGTGTTGGTGGTGGAGGGGTGTTGGGGAGGATGTGTTGGTGGTGGGGGTGTTGGGGAGGGTGTGTTGGTGGTGGAGGGGTGTTGGAGAGGGTGTGTTGGTGGTAGAGAGGTGTTGGGGAGGGTGTGTTGGTGGTGGAGGGGTGTTGGAGAGGGTGTGTTGGTGGTAGAGAGGTGTTGGGGAGGGTGTGTTGGTGGTGGAGGGGTGTTGGGGAGGGTGTGTTGGTGGTAGAGAGGTGTTGGGAAGGGTGTGTTGATGGTGGAGGGGTGTTGGGGAGGGTGTGTTGGTGGTGGAGACGTGTTGGGGAGGGTGTGTTGGTGGTGGAGGGGTGTTGGGGAGGGTGTCTTGGTGGTGGAGAGGTGTTGGGGGAGGGTGTGTTGGTGGTGGAGGGGTGTTGGAGAGGGTGTCTTGATGGTGAAGAGGTGTTGGGGAGGGTGTGTTGGTGGTGGAGGGGTGTTGGGGAGGGTGTCTTGGTGGTGGAGGGGTGTTGGGGAGGGTGTCTTGGTGGTGGAGGGGTGTTGGGGAGGGTGTCTTGGTGGTGGAGGGGTGTTGGGGAGGGTGTGTTGGTGGTGGAGGGGTGTTGGGGAGGGTGTCTTGGTGGTGGAGGGGTGTTGGGGAGGGTGTGTTGACTAAAGTGTATTTCCTCTAAATACAGAACAGACATCAACGAACTTTGCATCCACTGTCATGTGCCAGAAATATTAGACCACTACCTTCCTCACTGTTTGCGACATAATAGTGCCAGAGTGAACTTCAAACAAGTGTTTATATCGCCCTTAAAATAACTTTTACTATCGAGCATATGCTTGGAGAAGCTGACCTCTCTTTACATGTAAAATATCAAATAGTTAAAGCACTGGCTAAATATCTCCAGTCGACCAACAAATTGGGCCACATTTGACCCGTGTCACATTGTACCTGGCGCCACCTGCATCCTAACACAGAAAACAATGCCTCGTCGCAGCACCAAGGATCAGCTGACGCCATAAACACAACACCCCGGCCTACAGTGCGGCACGTCTCCCTCTAACACACACACCTGTGTTTAGTCCCCGCTCCTCTGTCTCCTTCACAACACAACACATACTCTTCAAACCGTGTCCTCAATACTGACGCGCCACGGTGACGCGTCTCCCAATATTAGTATTGGTGCAGTCATTGAGAGGAAAAAGCCTTCATACAAACGGCAAATACCATCAAGAAGAAGAGATATTTGGTGGCTTGTCTGAACACTCTTGTGCTGCCAGGTAAGTCGGGTAGAGGCGGGGTGCGAAGATTAGAATTAGATGGCGGAAAATATATATAAATCGAGTCATAGCAACCCAATACCTATTCCCTGATAAACACATTGTTCCATGATAATGTACGTATACATTAACTGTCGAGCAATTGGTGATTTCCAGATTCTGTAACTTTTTTCTCTCTGAATTTACCTTAGGGCCACCATCTCTAATGGCCTCGTCGGGGGGACAGGAGGTCAGTGGCTTGTCAAAGGCTACCCCATTGTCCCTAGCATTTTACGGCATCTTGCTCACCTTACGCTGGCCGGGGATGGGGTCCATGTGACAGAACTCGACACCATAGTTGAAGAAGCAGGCCTGGTAGCCAAGGCAGGCCTTTAAGGTGGGACACTTGCTGGACCCCTTCTCCTCGTCGCTATCTACACCATCCTCCACCTTCACCAGCCAGTGGGCGTAGGGCACGTCCAGCGCCGCCTCAGGGTGGGCTCTGATGATGTCCTCGCCCGTCCGGAGCAGCAGTCGGAGCTACGGCAGGCAGGGAAGAACGTGGATGACAGTAACAAGACGATATAAGGGGTAAAGACAAAATGAGCTGTGTTTTGGTGGCTGTGGTGGTGTTATGGTGGCTGTGGTGGTGTTATGGTGGCTGTGGTGGTGTTATGGTGGCTGTGATTGTGTTATGGCGGTGGTGGTGTTATGGTGGCTGTGGTGGTGTTATGGCGGTGGTGGTGTTATGGTGGCTGTGGTTGTGATATGGATATATATATATATATATATATATATATATATATATATATATATATATATATATATATATATATATATATATATATATATATATATATATATATATATATATATATATATATATATATATATATATATATATATATATATATATATATATATATATATATATATATATATATATATATATATATATATATATATACCGAAGTAGGAATCACCTAGGTGTAAATAACTTTTTTTTTTTCCACAAGATTTTCCTGGAATATCTTGAGAACGCCTGACTCTCACCTTCACCCCCGTCCCCCACCTTCCCATTCACACCCACTGCCCACTTTCACATACCAAATCCCCAACTCCCCAACCTACATTTACCCTCTCACACGAACCACCAACTCCCACCCCCAACACACCACCCTTGGAAGAGGTGAGGATAATTTACATTTTATTATTATTAATTATTATCTCTTGCATTGTGAGATATGCAGGCACAGGAGACCTGGGATATCTTATTGAGGTAGCCTTTGACTATATATAAATATATAAACATTCAAGCTGAAGCTATAAAAATTCATTATTATTATTATTATTATTATTATTATTCCACACACACAGAAATCACAATAACGTGATATATTAAATGAACAAATCCACAAGGGCCTTGATGAGGGTTCGAACCTATGCGATGGATGTTCCGAGACGCGCTCTAGTCAACTGTGCCACGACATGATTAAAAAATCGCAACCTGGAGTACTAAAAGTCCCAACGAGGATCTTGAGGCTTCCACTGAAGCCTAACCGGGGTTTCACATAATTCCCCCATGAGCGTGGGATCTGTCAACCCAAAGTAGACAATAGTATCTACTTACTGCAACCTTGTGGATTTGTTCATTATTATTATTGTCATTATTATTAAAAATATTAGCAGCAGTAGTATTTATATTTAAAAAAAAACACGAATTATGTTTTAATGATGTCACTGCCACTTTTGACCCAGGTTTTTACAAAATTACAGAAACGAACACGGTCTTCAACCTGGGAGGGGGGGAAGAGGGGGGGTGGGGGACAGACAGGGGAGTCAGATGAGCAAGTAATGAGACGGGAGACGACTGGACACTTGCGACGGGAGGCGGCCATTGGACACCTGTGCTGGGGGAGTGAGCGGACCAGCCGCCAGGCAGGCGAGACGGTAAAGTTCGAAATTATTAACTCACTAGAGTTGGTAGACTATCATCATCCATCAGGATTAATTCCCATAAGTGAAAAACTACTATCATTCATTATGATACATTACCATTATGGTAAACTATTATCATTCATCATGATATATTACAATCGTGGTAAACAACTATCACTTATCATGATATATTATCATCGTGGTAAACTATAATTTATCATGATATATTTCCATCGTGGTAAACTATCACTTATCATGATATATCACTATCGTGGTAAACTATTATCATTCATCATGATACATTACCATCATGTTATACAGTACTACTATCACCCATCATGATATATTACAATCGTGTTATACTATCACCCATCGTGGTATACTATCACCTGTCATGGTATACTACTATCAATCATCATGATATATTACCATCATCGTGTACTAATATAATCCATCATGGTATAGCATGGCAGCCAATAAAGTACCACACACATATATCCTCGTTATTTTTCAGTGTTCAGTGTTGCATGTCACTGAAGGCCAACATACAATGTTATTAGACGTGACACACAATACAAGTGATGTGAAATAGGCTAAGCTTAATAGTTAAGCTGTATCAGGAAAAATACCTTTAAATAGGATCTTATTGCCTCTTAATTATCGTTCAATAGCTATTTATTGTGTCTATTGTATCAACAATACTGCCTATTGTATCTACAGTATACTTATAAAAGAGAATATTTATTTAAGGTTGGAGCAGATACTTGGGGCGAGCCTCATCAAATTTTTGCAAGGTGACTATAGTCCTCCTCGAAGCCTCGCTGCTAAGGCAACCATTATTACATTGAGTTACATGGCATGTGTGGTGTATATCCCTCGTCTTTTGCATTATGAAATATCGGAATAGAAACTTATTTAGCTGATGATAAATAGTTACATACAGTAGCTTTCACATTGCGCAATAACCTGTCTGAATATTCCTTGTTGGACTCACGTCTTACTCACTTGACTGTATTTCCAACTGTAATTTTGTAATAACAAGCATTTAAATGCATTGATTTTATTTGTTTCACTTTATTATCATTGTATTTGTAATTTAATGTATTTAATTTAATGTTGTAATGTGAATTTGAAATCTGTTATATTTTTTACATGTCCAATTATCTTCTCCAAGTACACGTTAAAATTTTCTCTTCCCCCATAATATATCGGTTTTACGATTACCCCAATTACAACGTATCATTAGTAACACTTAGCTTGTCAATATTTTCTTTATCTTGAATAACATGTCAATTTATGACTACAGCTATATTGTTCGAGATGTTATTACATGTCTGGCGTCAGTATTAACATTACTAAGTACTAGATTATTGGAATTATTGATGTAAATATTGTAAAAACTGTGTGTATTGCTGTGAATCTTTACATCGTTAGAATACGTCACAGACTGATGTACTAAATTGTCTGAACCTAACCTAACATAGAACCCACGAATACATCACGTCATAGACATCATTGACATCACGTCAATTGACATATATTGACATCACGTCAATTTAGCAAGTTGCTGTAATTTTTAGTATACATCAGTTTTTTTGGCCTTAACGGGAATTATACGTCAAAATGCGGTGTAGTATTCAAGAGACGGGTTGTTCTGAAACGCGTCTAATGAAGGAAGTAAAGTGCAGAGAGGATTTAAGAGAGAATATATATAAAACTATAATTCTTCACTAAATCTTTCTTCCTTTCTTCCCTTTTTTTCGCTTCTCTTCCCTTCCTCTCGCATCTCTTCCCTTCCTCCCATCTTTCTTCCCTTCCTCCCACCTCTCTTCCCTTCTTCCCGCCTCTCTTCCCTTTCTCCCGCCTCTCTTCCCTTCTTCCCATCTGTCTTCCTCCCGCCTTTCTCCCTCCCTCCCTCGTCTGGACCTCACCTTGGCAATAGCGAAGTCTTTAGGACAGAGGAGTGCGGTGCGCGGGTGGACCTCCTGGAGCACATACTCCCGCACCACCAGGTCCCCGGCCACGGCCTGATGGTAGCGGTGCTCCCACTGCTCTGGGATGCCGGAGTACCAGTCCTCCGCCGCCTCTCCAGCCACCACACTCACCAGCAGGGCCGCCACCGCCGTCGTCGCCCCTACAGTTACCGCAGCCTTCATCATCGGTGTTGTTGCCTCTGCCATGTTCAGAAATAAGGGCTTTACGGGAGGGGGAGAATAATATGGTCTATTTTTTGTTTAAGTTTTATTTCTTCAGGTGCTCACTGAGGAAACACTACAGACTGAAGTCCATAATAATTTTTGGGTGTTTAGAAAGGGAAATATCATCTAGGGTGGACAGAGCAGCAGAAGAGAGGAAAATCATAGACAAAATAGTAGGATTAGGAGAAGGCCTCAATTTAAAGGAAAATGTCGGTGATTTTAGGAGGATAGGAAAATATGAGAAAGACAAGAACCGCCCCTTAAGGGTGACATTTAATTGAGTGAAACAAATAACGGAAGTACTTAGAAATGCCATGAAATTACAGAGTAATGAAGATGGCAAACTTTGGTCAATAAGACAAGACCTCTCAAAGGAAGACAGAGAAAAGCTGAAAACAAAGCTTGTTGAAGCAAAACGTCTAAATGGGAATATAAATGAAGACGATTTTTTTTTTTTACAAAGTGTTAGGTACTGGAAAGCTAGTGAAATGGTACATCAAAACAAAGCAACAAAATCATTAGAGGAAGGGGGAGTAAAGGACAAAGGGAAAGAGAACATGTTCCTAAAAATTATATATACCAACATAGATGGAGTGAGATAAAAAATACTGGAACTAAGAGATATAATTCAGTTTAAGGTCCCAGATATTGTCACATTAACAGAGACGAAACTTGAAGAAAATATTTTAAATGTGGTTGTATTCCCAAGGGGCTACTCAGTTTGGAGATGTGCCAGGAAAATTAAGAAAGGGGGAAGGAGTGGCTGTGCTGGTGAAATATCACCTGAAGGTAAGAGAGTTAATAATTGAAAACCCTCAAGAAGTTGACACATTGGCATTGCAGGTCTGAAATCAGGATGATAAATTGATAATCGTAAATTCCTACAGCCCACCAGCAAGCAACACGTGAACAAAGGAGGAACTGGATTACAAATGAGAGAGACTCATACTGGTCATGAGAGAGATTGTAGTAAGGCCTGATAGAGATAAGTCACGATTGTTGGTACTGGGGGACTTCAACTTGAAAGCATTAGATTGGGAGGCCCACGAAGCAAGAATGGAGAGCATTTGGACAGGCAGATTAGTACTCCTCATTCTGGAGACATTCATGAATCAACACGTCAAGCAGGCCACAAGAATGAGGGAAGATGTTCCATCAATACTGGATGTAATATTCACCAGGAAAGAGAGTGATCATGTCCTGTTGGAAATTAAATATACTTTGCCATATAATCTGGAAAAGAGTGGGGACATTCAAACAGTTGATAAACTCGATTTCAACAGAGGACACTATGGGGAACTTAGAAAATTCTTTAATGAGTTTAATTGGACAGACTTGTTGCTAGGCAAGGAAGTAAATGAGATGTATGCCAAATTTTGAGAAATACACGATGAAGGCACACAAACATTCATACCAATACAGAGGTGCAGGAACAGAAAACGGGATTGGTTCAACAGAAATTGTGAGAGGGCCAGAGAGGAAAAGGCAAGAAAATGGGTTCAATATCGGAAGAGGCCTAATCCACAAACATACCAGCACTACAGGAAGGACTGGAGTTTTTAAGAAATTGAAATTCCGGGCTGTGAAGGATTAAGAGATTACATAACAGGACCTATGACAATGGGTGGACCTAATATAATAGTAGCAGTCATTTACAACCTTCCACTAAATGACAGAAGACCCAGACAGGAGTTCGATAAGAACAACATGGCAACTATTAATATAATAGAGAAAGCAGCTTCAGTTGCTTGCAGGAATGGATCCAGACTCTTAATCATTAGCGACTTCAACCATGGAAAGATAGACTGGGAAAATGGGAAACGACATGGAGAGCTAAACTCTTTGAAGTGGCAACAAGAATCTTTCTCAGTCAACATGTGAAGGGACCCACAAGAATGAGAGGCAATGACGAACCAGCTAGACTCGACCTAATATTCACCTTGAATGAGTCAGAAATAAGGGAGGTCAAATTTTCAGCCCCCATGGTAATGAATGACCACAGTGTATTGACTTTTGAGAATCTTGTGGAGGTAGGGATAACCTATCGAGGAAGGAATCGGAAAGGAAAAGGTTAAATTACCGAAGAGGAAAATATGACGAGATGAGGGACCTAATGAGAATAACATGGGAAACAGAACTCAGAGAAAAGACTGTACAGGATATGATGGACTATGTCATCCAGAAGTGCCAGGAAGCTGCAGACAGGTTTATCCGGGGCCAAAAGGAGAAAAATGAAAAGCAACAGAAGAATCCATAGTTCAGTCAGGAATGTAAGGTAGCGAAACAATTGAGTACAAGAACATGGATAAACTACAGGAATAACAGCACACCAGTGAGCAGGGAAAGATACCAGAGGGTCAGGAATGAGTACCTCAGAGTGAGGAGAGAAGCAGAGAGACAGTATGTAAATGATATTATGAATAAAGCCAAGACCCAACCAAAACTGTTCCACAGCCACATCAGGAAGAAAACAGCAGTGATGAAACTGAGAAAAAGGGGAGAACAGATACACAAAGAACGACAAGGAGGTGCGTGAAGAACTCAACAAGAGATTGCAGGAGGTCTTCACAAAAGAGCAAGGAGAAGCCCCTGTACTAAAAGAGGCGGCGGCAAACCAAGCAACCTTGGAGGAATTTTAGCTCACCAGTGATGAGTTTAAAAGGAATCTGTTGGGGCTGAATGTGACGAAGGCTGTTGGGCCTAACAGAATCTCATCGTGGATATTAAAAGAAAGTGCAGAAGCACTAAGTGTGCCACTCTATGGTGTATAACAGGTCACTGGAAACAGGAGACCTACCGGAAAGCTGGAAGAGCGCTTATATAGTCCCAATATAGGAAAAAGGACGACAGGAAAGAGGCCAATCTCCCTAACTTGTATACCATGCCAGGTGATGGAGAAGATTGTGAGAAAAAGGCTCGTAGAATATCTGGAGGAAAATAGCTTTGTAACACACCACCAGCATGAGTTTAGGGATGGTAAATCGTGCCTCACAAGCTTAATAGAATTCTATGACCAGGTGACAAAAATTAGGCAAGAAAGAGAAAGGTGGAAAGACTGCATTTTCTTGGACTGTCAGAAAGTCCAAGAAAATGTCTTTGACACAGTACCCAATAAAAGGCTGTTACAAAAGTTGGAGAAACAGGAAGGAGTAAAATGTAAGGGGCTCCAGTGGATAAGGTAGTATGTAAGGAACAGGAAACAGCGAGTAACTGTGAGGGGAAAGAAGAGTGGCGAGATGTCACAAGCGCAGTCCCACAAGGCTCTGTACTTGGACCCATTCTGTTTCTGATATATGTAAACGATCTTCCAGAGGATATAGACTCGTTCCTCCCAATGTTTGCTGAAGCAAAAATTATGAGAAGAATCAAGGCAGATGAAGATAGTCAGTGACTACAGGACGACCTGGACAACTGGAGGAATGGTCTAGAAAATGGATACTAACGTTTATCTAAGGAAAGAGTAAAGTAAGGAAATTAGGCGAAGGGAGCAGGAAGTTGAACACAATGTACCATCTGGGAGGTGAAATCCTGCAAGAGTCAAATAGAGAGAAAGATCTGGTGATTGATATCACACCGAACCTGTCCCCAGAAGCCCACATCAAAAGGATATCATCAGCGGCATATGCTAGGTTGGCCAACATAAGAACTACATTTAAAAACTTGTGTAAGGAATTGTTCAGTACCTTGTATATCACTTATGTCAGACAAATCCTGAAATATGCAGCTCTAGCCTGGAGTCCATACCTAAACACAAGACAAAATTAGAGAAGATTCAGAGGTATGCCACCAGACTCGACCCAGAACTGAGAGGTATGAGCTACGAGGAAAGGCTAAGGAAGCTGAACCTCATGTCCCTGGAACACAGAAGAGTCAGGGGAAACATGATAACCACCTACAAAATTCTCAGGGGAATTAACAGGATGAACAAATATAAACTATTTAACATGGGTGAAACACGAACAAGGGGGCACAGGTGGAAACTTAGTACCCAAAGGAGCCACAGAGACAATAAAAAGAATTTTTTCAGTGTCAGAGTAGTTAATAGATGGAATGAATTAGGCAATGATGTGGTGGAGGCTGACGTCATACACAGTTTCAAATGTAAATATGATAGAGCCCAATAAGCTTCAGAATCTGTACACCAGTTGATTGACAGTTGAGAGGCGGGACCAAAGAGCCAAAGCTCAACCCCAGCAAGCACAACTAGGTGAGAACAATTAGGTGAGTACTACCACAATGGTTCACTACCACACTGGTACACCACCACACTGGTACACTACCACACTGGTACACTACCACACTGGTACACTACCACACTGATAAACTACCACACTGATACACTACCACACTGGTACACTACCACACTGGTACACTACCACACTGGTACACTACCACACTGATACACCACCACACTGATACACTGCCACACTGATACACTACCACACTGATACACCACCACACTGATACACCACCACACTGATACACCACCACACTGATACACCACCACACTGATACACTACCACACTGATACACCAACACACTGATACACCACCACACTGATACACTACCACAATGGTTCACTACCATACTGATACACCACCACACTGATACACTACCACACTGATACACCAACACACTGATACACCACCACACTGATACACTACCACAATGGTTCACTACCACACTGGTACACCACCACACTGGTACACTACCACACTGATACACTACCACACTGGTACACTACCACACTGATACACTACCACGCTGGTACACTACCACACTGGTACACTACCACACTGGTACACTACCACAATGGTACACTACCACAATGGTACACCACCACACTGATACACTACCACACTGATACACTACCACACTGATACACTACCACACTGATACACCACCACACTGATACACTACCACACTGATACACTACCACACTGATACACCACCACACTGATACACCAC